GGGCCCGTCTATGCCCGCCATCTTGGCTTAGGCCATTTTGGCTCCAGTACCATCTCGAATCGAGCTAGCTTTGGCTCAAGCTCGCTCGCGATGATCCCAGGGCTGTACCATGCGTGCGCTTGCCTGAGGGCCCCTTCGACACGAGCTTCAAGGAGGTGAATGCTGGGGTTGCTAGAGAGACCGTGCAGGTTGTCCTGGTCTTCGGCGGCGCCACCTTCTTGGCTGGCTGAGCCTGGCCCAGGCCCGAGTGGCAAGCAAGGCGCCCCTCGTCTTGTTCATTCGGCGCTGCTCGTTCCATTTTTGGTTATTCATCTTTACAGTTGTTTTGGATGTCTCCATAGTTCACATCTCTTACAACTTGAGGTGCCCTATTCCTTGTTCTCGCCTCCAGGGAAGATGTTGCAGGTTGGGCTCGCGGGTGGTGTGGGTTGTTTGCGCAATTGGGGCTCCTCTTCGGCATCGGTTCGCTGGATATGTCGGTTCGGCATTCTACTTATTCTTCTTCTTTTTCTTCTTCTTCTTGTTCTTCTTCTTCTTCCTTCAATTAAGTTATGGTTCTTCTGGTAGTGTTTGCTGGTCATTCTGCTGTTACTGTGTGGGGCATTCTGGTTGATCAATCGTCTGTTCGCCGCTGTCGTGGCTGGGTTTCTTCTCAATTTCACTGGGGTGCCTTCGTGTTCGTGCTGCTCCAGGCGGGCCTCGTCATATGTTCCCTCGTATATGGCGATGATGTTTCTGCGGGTGGGCTTCTACCTCGCCGGGGTGCTCGTCCACGTCGTGGTGGTGGCGCTAGCGCGGATGTGCGCGTTCTTTCCCGACTTGATGAACGTTGTGCCCCACTGCGCCCCTCCCCATCGTTCCATGCAACCTCCGGCGCCATCTTTGCCCTCGTCTCCTGGCTAGACAGGTGTGTGGTCCTCTGCTTTCTGCCGGCCATGACAGGCAGGTTGGCTGTATCCATGTAATCGGCTGCCTTTGGGAAGAGCCCGAATGGGTCCGGGCTGGCCCCCGTGGTGAGTGTGGCCGCCTGCTCTGCCATTCTCAGCTCCCAGCCATTGCCCAGGTCGGTAATGCTGGCGCTGGCTGGAGTGGAACTGGCGATGAGCTGGTTGGAGCTGCGCCTGACCACGGGGCCCGCCCTGTCGCGTGCCTGCGGGTTTTCCAGGGCATGGCCCGCGCGTCGGAAGGCGGAGCGCCCCAGATGTTGACCAGGCAGCGTGCACAGCACCACCGATTTTCCATGCCCTGGCTTGGAAGGGCCAGGCCCAGTCCGCGAAGCTGGGGGGGCCGCGTGGCATGGTCTGCGCGAGAGCGTCAGCGACCTGTGGGTCGGGGCGGAAGGCGGACATCCCTGGCAGTGCCTCTCCATCCTTTCATGCCAGGATTGGCTTCGCCAATGGGCAGCCATCACCCTTGGCAGCGGTTCCTTTCTGCGCCGCCTGCTTCCAGAACCTGTCCTCGTCGGTGCGGTGCCTGGGAATGGTAGTGCCGAGCGTGCTCGGGTACTCAGAACCTGTCTGTGTTAGAAGCAGGTCAGCCTGCAGTGTGCTGCCCGTGGGCGTGGGGACCTGGCGCCCCTGTGGCAGCGCTCTCTTCGCGTGCAGATCGCCGCTAGGACTTTCCTGGTCGTCCAGGTTGCACTGGAAGGTAGCCGCCTTGACGTCGTCTGGGACGGCCTGCCAAGGGGCCCTCTGTGCATCGCCAGCTGCAGCAGACTCCGCGCTGGTAGGTTGTCTCCCGGTTGGCCGCGAGTATCTGCCTGGCCTCCGCTGCCACCCATGTCCTGGCGTCGTGTCCGAAGCTCTCGGGGCAATCGCCGCGCCGAATAACCGCGTGCCAGGGGTGAATGTTGGTCTCGAACCTGGCATCGTTGCCACATATAGGCCCGGGGGGCCCAGGGCGACGCCAGGAGCGGGGGCGCTCGAGGGTCCTGCCACGAGGTCGCGCCCCGAGCTGGATGTCTCGCCTCCCTCGTGGGTCACTGCCTGGGCGCGGTCCAGCTCTCCTCTGTCCTGGGGCCCAACGTCAGAACCTGCCAGGGCAATTGATGGAATGCAGATGGCGCGATCCTCTTTCTTGGGCACGTCCAGATTGGCGGGTGCCACCAAGTCTTCCACGACCAGGAGGGGGGCTCTGAGCTGGTAGCCGCAGCAGATGTCCATCTCGCGCCAATTCACTGGGCGCCCGTTCTGCTTGGCCACCGGGCGGTCGTGCGACTGCAGCGTTGAGCGGGTCCTCGATCTGGGCGTGCAGTGCGCGACAGTCTTTGGCGTGCATCCCCCACCAGGCCCACGGCCGACTCAGTTATTTAGTCGATCAAGATTTCTCCCGGGCACCGTGCGCCGCAGGCTTAGGCGACCATCGGAGCATACCTTCCACCAAAGGCACCACCGCGAATGGATGACGGCCGAATGGCTTCTACACCGATCCCCGCAGAGGACAGCACGTACGACGCGCTCCTCGTCAACGACATCGACGACCCACTGCTGTGTCAGTACCTGGGCAGGATGCGTACCCACCAGCATCGCTGCAGGGAGCGCCGAGATGACGCGACCAGGTGCACCGCGCAGCTCCGAGCGACTCGCAGCCGGTTCTGGGGCGGCACAACGCCGCTCGCAGCACCTCGGAGTCCCCAGTTGGAATTCCCGACGCTCCGACCAGGGCGCGCAACATACTGGGGATTAATGAGAAATGCACGGCAGATGCATCATGTCTACGACCCCACATCGCCGACAACGGCTACTCCTAGTGCGACAAGGACACCCAGGGTTATGACTCATGAGAGGCTGCTCAGTCCTGTCTCACCGTATCCCACAACCATGATCGTTCTCTTGCGGGCTCCTTCCCCCATTCTGTACATTGTTTTGTCATCCTATCAATCCGAGGAAGCACGAGGATAATTGATACTGATGCGCGGCCTAACGCTCTCCCCCCGCGTGTCTCTGTGCAGGGGCCCTCCTGGTGTCCCGAGGAGCTCCCGCCACCTGTGGTCATGCAGTTGCGCATCTCGCTACTCCCTTAACCGTCTTAGTCGATGGCCAGCCTGTACCGTCCGTGCCAGCTCTGTCAATATTTTGCCTGCTGCCAGTTCCAACCTTGCACAGTTTCGCTTCCATTCTGCGCCAAGTTGCCAGTCTTCTCACTTGACCGTGTACTCAGTGGGGTCGGAAGGACTTGATCGAGGGGAGCTGGGAGGGAGAAAGTTTTGGTTTGTTTGTTTATCGCCCTCCCTGATCAGTCGGGAGATGTCCACTTTGTTGTACAATTCAGCAACTCTTTCTCAGACTGCTTCTTTCAAAGCCATACCACAAAACAGTACCAGGCCATCCGACACCGGGCCAGCTTATTTCATCAGCATCTCATTGTGTTTTTGCTTTCGCAATAGCCCGACAACCCAGTGATGAGATTGGAGATGGGTGCGGGGAGTTGGGGGGGAGAGCAGTGGCCATTTCGCCCCCCCCCCATTCCCTTCTTGATTTGCAAAGAGTTGGCCTGGTTGTACGCGCGTTTTCGCAACTTGATTTCAGATGGTTAATTTTCAAAGTCATGTCACCTACCAGCACCAGGCCAGCTGACATAGGGCCAGCCAGCCTTTTTTTATCAGCATGTCATGGGCAACTCGACTACGCACCAGCTAAACGATCCGGTTCGGAGAGTGGGGATTACAGTCGCGCGACCTTTGTATGCAAGTATTACGTTTTGCTGCAGCGGCTGCCTTCGCCAGGGGGTGTCCCCCCCCATCGTGGACTGCCGTGCCGCGCTGACTAGCGCCAGTAGTAACAGTATTTCTTGCACCGCCGCAGCAAAGCATTGTCTTCCCTCTCGTTTTTGTCATTCATACGGTGCTGCCCGCATCAAGCGTTCCTCGGACATCCAACCTGCCACCATTTCCTTCCGCTATCGGTATTTGTCGCCTATTACGCGTATTTCGAACTTTTCCATTTTATGTACGCCTTCCGTATGCTGCCTGATTCATGGTGCTATGTTCTGGTATTGGTTTGGTGCTGTAGTCCCCACTCCCAATTGCTGCCTGCTTATTCAAATTGAGCCCATATGGGTACCTTATCTATCACCAAGTCCATTTGTACCTCTGACATCCGCACTGGGAGCAGCCGTAATTCGTTATCAGTGGCCTAAGTCGACGTTTCCCTTTTCTTTCGATGCTTCACTGTACTGGAAGGACGCAACAGCCAAACTGTATGGCCAGCGACAGGAGGATTCGGAGGAGGGGGTGGAGGATTCGGAGGAGGAGGAGGAGGAAGAGGAGGAAGAGGAGGAGGAGGAAGAGGAGGAGGAAGAGGAAGAGGAGGAGGGGGCGGGCCACCTGGCCGCGTCGCAGGGCCCGCGGGTCCTTCCATGTCTTCCCCTCCATGCTCTTCTTACCCCTCTCTGCTAATATTTTTGGTCCCCCCTCTTGTCTCCTCCGTTCCGCCTCCTCTCCCACCTAGTCTCCTTAATTCATCCCTCCTCAAAAATTCTCCTCTCTCCTCCCCTCTTTTTGCCCTCCTCCTCGCTCCTCTGTCCCCCCTCCTTCCTGCTCGCTCTTTCTCTTTCCCTCTTTCGTCCTTCCTGCCCCGTCCGTTCTCTTCCCTCCCTTGTCCTTCATCGTTCCCCTTTCTGCGTTTCCTTCGTTCCTCTCTTTATCCTTCGCTGAATTCCTCCCTTCTCTCTTTTCCTCCCCTTCCCTCTATCATCCTTGCCTCCTTTCTCCTTCTTCCTCTCTTTTCCCTGCCCCCTGCCTCCTTCCCCTTGCTTCCCGCCCCCTGCTCGTTGCTCTCTGCTCCCCCGTCCTCCCTCCCTGAGGTCCGCATCGCGGTAAAGATGCGACATCGTGCGACATCAGAGTCCTCGACCCCGCATGTCTGGTGCACTTGTCCAGCGGGAGCGATCCGTGAAGATTCCGGGGTCCGATGTGGAAGAAAAGTCACACGCCTGGGGATCTCAGGTTTCGTCCTCCCCAGTGGGCCTGGCGTGTGGCGACCATTCGGGGGTGCTGGGCGAGGCCGGACGGCGACTCCGCTGGGAGCCAGAATGGCTCTCTCGACGACGAGTCCATCGAGCGCGGTGCTGGGGGGGGGTGGGGGCGCCGCCAAAACGGGCGTCCGAAGCAAGGGCGGGACATGCGGGCGCAGAGGAATTTCCGCCTTCATCTGCCGCGCTTCCTCGCCGCCTTCTGCTCGCCCCTCCCGTCGGCATCACCCGCTTTTAAGGGGCCTGGGCTGCTTCGTCCCCATGTTCGATCAATAGAAAAAGAAAACTCCAGGGGAGACGCGTACATTCAAGGAGGCAGCCGCTTGTGCATCTTCTGGTGCCATGGGCAAAAGGGCAGGCTCAAGCACTACATGGCGTGCTCGACCTTGTGGCGTGTTGTGCGGGTGGCAGTGGGCATCCGCATGGAAGCACTCCTGTTCATCGTCTGGCGCGGATGTGCCTCACAACGGGCAGGCATATCATCATCGCGAGTGCTTGGTGGAAGGGTACGGTGGGGGCGTTGGTTAAGGAACGAGCTCGGGAGGCTTCAGACCCTGGAGGGTTCCTTATCTGATGGAGGCGGCGGTAATATCCACTGCCAGTCCGCTACAATTTGAAGCTCGCGGCCCACGACCCCTCCGACTCCAGCCTCGCTCGAAGAAGAATTATCCTGGCGAAGGACCCAACCATATGCAATTGTGAATGCCGCAATTGTGAATATCTTCTTCGGTGGCGCTCCCTATGGGGCCACGAAACGTGTGAGGGGTGTGCCGAAATGGGTGTGCGGGACGCATGCGGGCACACCCACTGGGGCCTTCGGTGGAGCTCCCTATGGGGGCCACGAAACGTGTGAGGGGTGTGCAGAATTGGGTGTGCGTGACGCATGCGGGCACACCCACTGGGACCTTCGGTGGAGCCCCCTACGGGGGCCACGAAACGTGCGAGGGGTGTGCCGACAATGGGTGTGCGGGACGCATGCGGGCACACCCACTGGGGCCTTCGGTGGAGCTCCATATGGGGCCACGAACGTGTGAGGGGTCACGAAACGCGTGAGGGGTGTGCCGAGATGGGTGTGCGGGACGCATGCGGGCACACCCACTGGGGCCTTCGGTGGAGCTCCCTATGGGGCCACGAAACGTGTGAAGAGCATGCCGAAATGGGTGTGCGGGACGCATGCGGGCACACCCACTGGGACCTTCGGCGGAGCTCCCTATGGGGCCACGAAACGCGTGAGGGGTGTGCCGAAATGGGTGTGCGGGACGCATGCGGGCGGCAGCACTGGGGCCTTCGGTGGAGCTCCTATGGGGCCACGAAACGTGTGAGGGGTGTGCCGAAATGAATGTGCGGGACGCATGCGGGCACACCCAACGGGACCTTCGGTGGAGCTCCCTTTGGGGCCACGAAACGTGTGAGGGGTGTGCCGAATTGGGTGTGCGGGACGCATGCGGGCGGCAGCACTGGGGCCTTCGGCGGAGCTCCCTATGGGGCCACGAAGCGTGTGAGGGGTGTGCCGAATTGGGTGTGCGTGACGCATGCGGGCGGCAGCACTGGGGCCTTCGGCGGAGCTCCCTATGGGGCCACGAAACGTGTGAGGGGTGTGCCGAATTGGTGTGCGTGACGCATGCGGGCGGCAGCACTGGGGCCTTCGGCGGAGCTCCCTATGGGGCCACGAAACGTGTGAGGGGTGTGCCGAATTGGGTGTGGGTGACGCATGCGGGCGGCAGCACTGGGGCCTTCGGCGGAGCTCCCTATGGGGCCACGAAACGTGTGAGGGGTGTGCAGAATTGGGTGTGCGTGACGCATGCGGGCGGCAGCACTGGGGCCTCCGGCGGAGCTCCCTATGGGGCCACGAAGCGTGTGAGGGGTGTGCCGAATTGGGTGCGCGTGACGCACGCGGGCGGCAGCACTGGGCCTTCGGCGGAGCTCCCTATGGGGCCACGAAACGAGGGGTGTGCCGAACGCATGTGGGCGGCAGCACTGGGGCCTCGGTAGAGCTCCCTATGGGATCACGAATCGTGTGAGGGGTGTGCCGAATTGGGTGTGCGTGACGCATGCGGGCGGCAGCACTGGGGCCTTCGGCGGAGCTCCTATGGGGCCACGAAACGTGTGAGGGGTGTGCCGAATTGGGTGTGGGTGACGCATGCGGGCGGCAGCGGGGGGGCCTTCGGCGCGAGCTCCTATGGGGCCACGAAACGTGTGAGGGGTGTGCCGAATTGGGTGTGGGTGACGCATGCGGGCGGCAGCACTGGGGCCTTCGGCGGAGCTCCTATGGGGCTACGAAGCTTGTGATGGTGTGCCGAATTGTGTGGGTGACGCATGGGGGCAGCACTGGGGCCTTCGGCGGAGCTCCTATGGGGCCACGAAGCGTGTGAGGGGTGTGCCGAATTGGGTGTGGGTGACGCATGCGGGCGGCAGCACTGGGGCCTTCGGCGGAGCTCCTATGGGGCCACGAAACGTGTGAGGGGTGTGCCGAATTGGGTGTGGGTGACGCATGCGGGCGGCAGCACTGGGGCCTTCGGCGGAGCTCCTATGGGGCCACGAAACGTGTGAGGGGTGTGCCGAATTGGGTGTGGGTGACGCATGCGGGCGGCAGCACTGGGGCCTTCGGTGGAGCTCCTATGGGGCCACGAAACGTGTGAGGGGTGTGCCGAATTGGGTGTGGGTGACGCATGCGGGCGGCAGCACTGGGGCCTTCGGCGGAGCTCCTATGGGGCCACGAAACGTGTGAGGGGTGTGCCGAAATGCGGGCGGCAGCACTGGGGCCTTCGGCGGAGCTCCGATTGGGCCACGGAGCGTGTGAGGGGTGTGCCGATTGGGTGTGGGTGACGCATGCGGGCGGCAGCACTGGGGCCTTCGGCGGAGCTCCTAGGGGGCCACGAAACGTGTGAGGGGTGTGCCGAATTGGGTGTGGGTGACGCATGCGGGCGGCAGCACTGGGGCCTTCGGTGGAGCTCTTATGGGGCTACGAAACGTTGTACTGGGTGGGTGGAACGCAGGGAAGAGGGGGAGGAGGGAGGATGAGGGAGAGGAGGAGGAGAGGAGAGGAGAGGAGGAGAGGAGAGGAGGACGCGGGAACCGTCTCTTCAAAACGAGGACCCAACACCACAGGATGGTTGGGAAAAAACAACATAAACATAAACTTTTGGCGATCCGCGCGCAGTTCGTGGATCCGCGCCTGGGCCTCCCGGCGGCGCCTCCGGCGCCGCCCCTGGCGCGCTCCGCGCGCCAGGGAGGGGGGGGGTCCAGCGCGATCCGAGACATCCGCGCGGAGCGCCACAAGCTTATGCTCATGTGGTGTTTTTTCTCCTCCTCCTCCTCCTCCTCCTCCTCCTCCTCCTCTTCCTCCTCCTCCTCCTCCTCCTCCTCCTCCTCCTCCTCCTCCTCCTCCTCCTCCCTCCTCCTCCTATCCTCCTCCTCCTCCTCCTCCTCCTCCTCCTCCTCCTCCTCCGCCTCCTCCTTCCTCCTCCTCCTCCCCTCTTCCTCCTCCTTCTCTCCTCCTCCTCCTCCTCCTCCTCCTCCTCCTCCCTCCTCCTCCTCCTCCCCCCTCCCTCCTCCTCCTCCCCCTCCTCCTCTCCTCCTCCTCCTCCTCCTCCTCCTCCTCCTCCTCCTCCTCCTCCTCCTCCCCTCCTCCCCCTTCCCCTCCCCCTCCTCCTCCTCTCCTCCTCCTCCTCCTCTCCTTCCTCCTCCTCCTCCTCCTCCTCCTCCTCCTCCTCCTCCTCCTCCTCTTCCTCCTCCTCCCTCTCCTCCCCCCCTCCACTCCTCCTCCTCCTCCTCCTCCTCCTCCTCCTCCTCCTCCTCCTCCTCCTCCTCCTCCTCCTCCTCCCCCTCCTCCTCCTCCTCCTCCTTCTCCTCCTTCTCCTCTTGCTCCTCCTCCTCCCCCTCTTTTGTCTGTGGGGTGCAAGCAGCTCGCGCGCCCATTTCTGGGCGTCTCCGAGACCATGATCCCAGCCTGTCCAGCGCATCCTTTTTCTCCTCCACTCCTGCTTTCTTGCCCATACCTGTGGCGCCTGTGGCGGCGTTATACTGGGGAAGGCGTCGCGGCCGTGGAGAAGATGGTCACCAGCCCGGACGCAGCCCAGATGGCTGCTGCACCAGCCGCGACGTTTGTGTGCATCGGGAAGGGGGGTCTATTTTTCTGACAGTGCCGACGACGATAACCTCTAGCGTATCGTTGTCTGGTTTTATGCTGGTACTGAATGTTTGGTTGTCTGGGCTTTGGAAGTCCATTTCGGGTCCTGGTGCCATGAGAAATCACCCCTGGATGGGAAGCCAGTCCTGAGGAAGGAGTGAGGGCTGCAAAGGCCAGCGATTCGAGCCAATCGAATCGTCGGTTGTTTGCGGACGGCGATGTGGGCGACGGTAACGACGGTGATCACGATTTCGGGAAGCGAGCTCCTGTGGGAGTCTGATGGCATTGGTTTTCGTCGATGAGTTCGTGGCCATATCGAGTTGTTGGTGGAGGCTCAAAACAGCATTGCCTTCTGGCACCGGGCGCCGGTAATCGCGGCCAGCGTGGGCACTACGGTCGGTGAGAGGAACAGGGAGAAAAGAAAGAGGAGACGGAAGGATGAGGGAATGGATGAGCGGAGAGGAAGGAGCATGATGTGCGAAGGAATATGAGGAGCTTGTTGACGGCTCTAAGAAGTGCAAATGGGGGTGGAAGTACGGTTGGACCCTCGTTTGCGGCAGTCTTCGTTGGCCGAGGGGCAGTAATGGAATCATCGGTCCCGTCCAGTGCCAAAAGTCATTTCTTTGTGCAAGCTGACAGTTTGTCGGGCCCCCCCTCTGCCGCATGAACGGCACAGAACCTGGCGGGATTGCGGCTCAGGTAGTGAAGCTTGACCTGAAACCTTGGAATGTCGAACACATCTCATGACTGCCACTAATGCTGTGAGGTCCGCGCGAATGTCTTCGATCAGAACGAGTCCTCGCGGCCTTCTGAGACGGCCCTCGGCTTGTCTGGAAGGCGCGGCGGGAGCGATAGAGGGAAGGAGGGAGGAAGACGGGGAGGCGAAGGGGGAGGAGGAGGGGGAGTGGGACGAGGAGCGGGAGAAGCAGGAGAACCAGTGTAAACCCAAGACTCATCAACGATGTTGGAGTACACCCTCCCTCGAAGCTCCCTCTTCATAGGCCCCTGCAACGGTTCATGTCCACTGAGGGAACTGCCTCATTGGAAGACAACCCATTGAAGACCTTGAAGCTTGCCCAAACATTGTTCTCGGGATTCCAACGCCAACCTGACTGTTGCGTCTGGACGATCCTGATTCGTGCCAGAACGCCATTCCTGGGACTTCGACACCGCGAATCAACGTAATTCTTGCGTCCTCATAATCCTGACTCCTTCCAAACCACCGTCTGTGGTACGCTGACCATGGAGATCCGTGAAACCCTAGCGAATGTTTGAAACGATTGTACGCGGCGCCAAGGCGACATACACATTTAGAACACGCCCCACCCTCAATCCGTGAAGCTCGTGCAGCTGTTTTAAGCGAATGTGCGCGGCGCTAGAGCGAGAGCCACACTTTGAAAAACGGGCCGCCCTCAACCTGTGAACATCTTGCGAATTGTGAAAACGGACGTGCGCGGCGCGACGGCGAGAGCCACAGTTTGAAAACAACCCGCCCTCCATATGAGAAGCTGCTGTCTTTTTTACGCTCCAGGGTCAGAAATGGCGAGAAAGTTTCAGGGGCGCGCCCTAAAAACTGGCAGCGGGGTGCGACAGGGAACGGTTCTGTATACGGAAAAGGAATGGCGATGGAGGGGGGGTAGTAGGAGCAGGAGCAGGAGGAGGAGGAGGAGGAGGAAGAGGAGGAGGAAAAGGAGGAGAAGGAGGATGAGGAGGAAGGAGGAGGAGGAGGAGGAGGAGGAGGAGGAAGAGGAGGAGGAGGAGGAGGAGGAGGAGGAGGCGGAGCGCTCTCGCTTCCCCACTCGACTCGAGCCTCTCGGCTCGCGGAGGGAGCAGAGTGAGGAGAAGCATGAAAAAGGTTTGGACGATCCTCGTGAAGAGGGCACGGTCAGTTGGCGGTTCTTGGCGCAGGCCCTGCTTCGCCGCCCCGCGGAGCGGAGCGACACGGTATCAGCTCGCAGGGCCTAGCGTGCCTCTGGGGCCGCTGCCGCGACACGCCAAGGAAACGTTTCTGACCGCATGCTCCGCCGTGCTGTGCTCGCGCCTCAGCAGATCAGGGTGGTCACGGCGACAATGTGTTGAGTGAGATTGTGCGCGGGGAACGGAAAAAGCAGAGGACTCGTCGCCTCAGGTGCTTGGCGATGGCGCTGGAGGAGAAGCCGAAGTTGGGGCCTGGCTCCATCAGGCGTGCAATCAGGAGTAGGAACAGGAGGGGAGGAGGATGCGGAGGGGCAGGAGGGGGTGAAGGAGGAGGAGGAGGAGAATGAGGAGGAGCAGGAGTAGGATGATGGGGACGGAAGGAGACAAGACAGGAGGTAGGAGGCGATGGAAGGATGTGGGATGAGGGGCGAGAAGGATGCTGGTGATGATGAGGAAATCAGGATGAGGATGACCATGCAGAGGAAGAGGTGGATAAGGAGGAGGAGGAGGAGGAAAAGGAAGAGGAAGAGGAGGCAAACCCACCCGCATCTGCCATGCTGTAAAGGTGGGCGGAGGGAAGGGAGGGACAAGGGGGTAAAGGGGTGGAGAGGGGGACCTGCGAGTGGTGCTCGGGTGATGGTCTGGCCGCAGCACTCGAAATGCCAGGGCGCCGTCCCTGCACTGGCGCGCCGTGGTCACCCGCCCCTGGCGGACAGAGTGGCGTAGCCCTGGTGCGCGCTCCCATCCTCAGGCGTCGTCCGTCCCTCAACCTCAACCTCCTGTAAGCACTTTAAGCATAATAGGAGCAACGATGGGAATAACAATTCGACCTGCACCCTCCCCGAGATGCAGGCGGCGCATTTGCTGCACGCCGGGCGTTCTCGCCCGGCTTCGGGGCCCAGGACCCTCGCGGATCGACCCGGCCTGCGAGAGATGTAGATGCCGCGGAAAGATGGGGGCCCAGGGCTCAGGTGGCGGTCTCGGACGATGCCTCGACTATGTCGCGACGTCGGGTCTCCGGGCTCCGCACGCTTTGCGCGGCAGATGCCGCGCAGCGGCGGGCGCCGCCGCGGACGTGGCGGCGGCGGCCTCGCCGGCGGCCGCGGCCGCGCCGCCGCGCGGAAAGTTCTGGAGCCGGAGGCCGGGGGGCTTCGAGAAAGAACACGGAGGCGGCCAGCTGGTTGGACGTTCTCGGCCCCGGGAGGCCTCTGCTCCAGGCCCGCCGTCACGGAGCTGGGCGCGGTTGAAGAGCTTCCGTTCGGCCCAGGGAGTCTTTCAGCTTAGGGTCTGATATGATGTAGTAGGACTCAGTGGTTGCTCGAGTGGCATTCAGTGGGATGCGTGTAGTAGGTGCTTCGTGGGAGTTGGTCGGGTCGCAGGTGAGATTCAGCGGGAGGTTGTGGGGCCCACGAAATCTCACTAGCCAGGCGCCCGTGCGACGACGTGCAGCTCCCATGCCTGGCCACCTGACGGGGTAAGACCTGGCCCGACGATGGGGGCCCAGAGGTCTGTGTGCTCGTGCCCGCCGAGGCCCGCCGGGCCTCCGCCTCCCTCCAGGAAGGAACGTGGCGTAGGCTCCAACGTTCGGAGCTCTGCACGGATTTTTCTCGGATCGGCGCTGGGCTCCCTCTCTCCGGTGCGCGGAGCGCGTCAGGGGCGGCGCCGGAGGCGTCGCCACGGGGTCCCAGCGCTGATCCAAGGAATCCGCGCGGAGCTCCGAACATTTATGTCCATGCCTCGGTATCGTTTAACCGATCCCCATCCCCACCCCCATCCCCTTCGAGACCCCCACCAAATTACCCCCCAGTTGGGGATACACCCCTCGAATCCCGGCGGGAACGGCCTGTATCCCCATCTGGGGGGGCAAATCGGCCAGTGGGGCCCAGGCCACGCCGCTGGGGATGGGGATCGGTTCAACGATACTCAATGCCGCCTCTTCTTCCTCGACACATTGTTGTTCATTCCTAATTTTTCCAGTGCTTTGATTTTTGTTGGGGGCCAAGATCCTTTCACTTCTGATTCTTCGGTCCTCGGCCTGTTTCCTGGCCACCAGGGGGCCAGGAATAGTTAGAGACGAGCACGATTAGAACTGAGCACGATTAGAACCGATCGACGTGTACAGGCGGCCCGGATTAGTAGGTGGACCCTGCCAGATCAAGGGTACCCTCCTGTCCTGTGTCCTGCGACCCATGCCTCCTGCATCTCTGTGGCAACGTGGCCCTCGGGGAAGGGTCTTGTGCCCTCTCGCGTGTCCTCTCCAATCAGGTCCGCCGTGTACAGTCGGGGCCCTGAAGAAGGAACCCTGTTCGTTGGGAAGGGGCTCGGTGTTCCTTGATTGTTTTACAGTTTGCCCTGGGTTTTTCTTAGGTTTTCAATGGAAGTCGAAGTTGAACTTCTGGAGAAAAGGGGCCTCGTTCCTTATTTAGGGTTCCTTTGGTCAACGCCCCGACTGTACTTCTGCGGTGCCACGTCGAGGCAGCCCGTGCCCCGGTGGGGCTCACGCCTCCCCCGCTCACAGCCCGGCGCGGCGTTCGGCCTCGTATCGCCGCGGGGGGGCACGCCGCGGGCCGTGTGCCCCCGGGGCGTTTCGGGCGAGCCGCGCCGTGGACTCGGCGTGGCCCTCCTCCCCCTGCGCTGCTCCCTTCTCCCTCGGCCCGTCCCTCCTCGCTCCTCCTCCCCTCTTCCTCCTCGTCCTCCTCCTCCTCCTCCTCCTCCTGCTCACTCACACTCAGACTCCTGCACGTTCAGCCTCTCGTCGCACTCAGGCTCGCTCACACCCAGACCCACTCACTCGGACTCATACTCAGACTCACTCGCACTCAGACGCACTCACACTCAGACTCTCTCACACTCAGACGCGCTCACTTTCGGAATCACCCAAACCAGATTCGCTCTCACTCAGACTCCATCTCATTCAGACCCACTCACACTCATACGCAGTAGTATTCAGACTCACTCAGAATTACTCGCATTCAGACTTGCGACGCGCTCGCTTTCAGAAGCGCAGATTGTGAGAATGTCTCCAGCGAGGCTGTGGTTTCTGCACCCCGAAAGGGGAGTCGTTTCAGCACTCCCAAGGGGGAGCCGCCAGGGTGTAAGACACTCGCCCAGTCGCGCCCAGATGGTGGGGATGTCTCCAGCGGTGTCTGTCTGGTGGCCTGGACTCGTGTGCTGCTGGAGCAGACTGTGAGGATGTCTTGGGCGAGGCGCAGGCTTCGGCACTCCCAAATGGGGGAGCCGTGAGAGGGGGCGCGACGCTCGCCCGGTGGCGCCCTGGTTGCGGGGGATGTCTCGGGCGGCTTGCCTGTTTGGTGACTCGGACTTGTGGTGTGCTGTCAGAGACGATTGGCAGGCGAGCGCAAACGAATAATTATTGTTAGCGTTCTTCTTCTTCAGAGGTCTTCTGCGTCGATCCGCTCTCTCTGCCTGCTTGTTGTTGGATGGATCGTGCTGCGTTTCCAGCTTGCCTGGGCGTCCTTCCTTGAAGCTCAGACTTCCGCCGTCGATTTTCATTCTGCAAATGAGAGGGAGGGGGGAAACACCCGCGCGAGTGGAGAACCGGCTCGGGGCGATCTGGCCCGAAGGCGTTTCGAAGTGAACCCACAGCTGAAGCCGAAGCGACAGCTGCAGTGCACAGAAAAGGACAGAGCACACCCCGGGGTCCCAGTTCGTCGCACCGTGTTGAGAGGTGCTGCAGCCTCCCCTGAGCCGCAGACGAGAAGAATTCTGCGACGACGATGTCTATACGGTGGGTGCGTTCGTCAAGGAACGTGCCCAGGAGGCTTCAGACCCTGGAGGGCTCCTTAATTGATGAGGGCGGCGGTGATGTCCATGGCTGAGCCCCGATTGGAGTTCCAGCGGCCTCCAGACCCCTGGCTGATCGAAGGCTTCCTTCTCCAATGCCCCCACCGTGCGATGCTCACTGCCCCTGGCGATCACGAGCGAGGCGCACGGCCCCCGGCCAGTCCCATCCTGGATCCGGGAGCGGTGTGGACGCCTCCCCGGCCAAGCCGGGGGGGCGCATACGCCGCTCCTGGTCCCGGGATGGGCCTGGCCAGGGGCAGTGGATTTGGATACATCTCGTCGCCCTGGAAAAAGGAGGAGGAGGAGGAGGAGGAGGAGGAGGAGGAGAGGAGGAGGAGGAGGAGGAGGAGGAGGAGGAGGAGGAGGAGAGAGGAGGAGGAGGAGGAGGAGGAGGAGGAGGAGGAGAGGAGGAGGAGGAGGAGGAGGAGGAGAGGGCAGCCTCAACCAGGGATGCCCCATCTCAAGAGGCCGTGCAGAGCTGACGGTACCGACCGCTCGCTGGCAGGTCACGCGCACGTGGCGGCGCTAGTGGCAGCATGACCCTGTTAGCGCCAGGCCACGTGCGAGGAGTAGGAGTAGGAGGAGGAGGAGGAGGAGGAGGAGGAGGAGGAGGAGGAGGAGGAGGAGGAAGATAAGGAGGAGGAGGAGGGGCAGAAGGAAGAGGCGGAGGAGGAGGAGGAGGAGGAGGATGAGGAGGAGGAGGAGGAGGAGGAGGAGGAGGAGGAGGAGGGGCTTGAGCAGGAATCGCATGGGAGCGTAAAAGCTCAGTTGTGCCACGCCGCCGAGGTGCTACGAGCGGGCCCTGGGCTTCCTGGACAACAGAGGCCGACTGTCGCGAATTCTGCCCTCGCTCCTATCTCTACGTCGCGCCGCTTCTGTCTGTGCTCTCTCCATCTATCCGTCTCTCTGTCTCTCTGTGTACTCTGTGTCTCTGGCTGGGTCTCTGCTTCTGTCCCTGTCTCTGTGCATGTTTTTTTTTTTTCTCTCTCTCTCTCTCTCGCTCTGTCTCTCTCTCTCTCTCTGTTTCTCTTTCTCTCTCTTTCTGCCTCTGTCTCTGTCGCTGTCTCTGTATCTGTTTCTCTTTCTCTGTATTTTGAGCCAGCTAGGGGTCCGAGGTGGCCCAGCATTCGTTCTGGCAAGCAGGAAGGGGGGGCGAGATTCGAGGTTCTGGGTCCGAGAATGTTCCTTGGCTTTGCGGTCTCTGGGGGCCGTTTTCGGGCCAGTCCGCCGGGAACGATTTTGAGCGGAGCTGCCCTCACCCCTTCTTCCTGACCGATCTTCTCGGCGCCCCTCCAGCTCAGACCCCCCAGCCGCCTCATGTCTCCCGAGTTGGCCTCGACAGCGCCGTGGCTGGACGGTCTCCTGCCGCGGAGCCCGAACACATCAGAAAGCACGACGCGATGGGGGCTGGGGCAGCTTGAGAGCCTGGCAGTTGGACGCAGGTTGCACACTGCAGCGCGCGCCCCGGGCTTGCCGCCACGCCTCCAATGCCGGTGCGCGCTTCTTTCGGGCGAGCCTGGGTCGCAGCACTGGCGCCTCGCTCGTCATGGTCTGAGCGTCCCGCCTGCGGTGGGGGTATTGGTCAAGGAGTGTGCCCTGCAGGATGTCTGACCTGATGAAGGCGGCGGTGATACCCATGGCCAGTCCGCGATGGAAGCTCCACGGGCGGTCCTTGGCTTTCTTATCCAACGGTTCGGGCGCAACGATCGCAGGCCTAGAGGTTGACACGAACACCAATATCGGCAGTGTGCCTCCACCGAGGGAAGAAGATCCCGATCTCGATGATCGTGGTAATATTCTGGCTGCCAACGCGACCGACATGTTACCACCAACGCCGAAGTCTAGGATCATCTTCCCCTTGTGGTGGCAACCCCCTGTGTTGGTGTTGGTGCCCATTTCCAGGCCTCCAAAACGAAAGGTGTGTGTGTGTGCTCATGGGGGGCGCATCCACCCCCAATCGCCCATGGATCGACGTGCGGATTTGCCATCGGGGGCGTATTGCTGACCTATCGGCGATGCAGCGCCGATGTCGCTTCGATGCCCCCCCCCCCCGGAACCACTACCCCCCTCAACCTTGCCCCTCAATGGTTCCCAATGCCCTCGCCTCAGTTCCATTCACTCTCCAGGGCCGCCCTCCTCCCGCACTTCCTTCTAGGTTCAAATCCGCCAGATCGCAACCTGTCTGCACGCCAGTCGTTGGAAGTAGGTCTTCTTGGATTCCCAGACCACAATCCAGTTCAAGCGCCGTCCTACTTCCAGAATCGCTCCGCTTTTGTGGCTTTCTGTGATTCTCTGGCAGGGCCTGAGCCCACTCTGCTGTGTCCGCTTCCCTTCTGCATTTTTAAAACCAAAAAACAACAACTTCTTCCGACCGACCTGTAGGCCTGCCCGCGCGGAGCGAGTGCCCGCGTTGCGACAACAACTTTTTACGCCATCGGCGACGCAGACGTGCTGCTCCAGCGGGTGGCGATCGGGGCGACCGCTACGCGAATTGGCCGGTGTGCCAGAGGGGGGAACTAGATTCAAGTCGGGCTTGTTTCTCTACAGGAGGAATATTGAAAAATGGCAGACAAATCGTCAGGGGACAAAAAAAAGCAAGGAAAACAAATTAAGACATTTTTTTCTGTAGGGGGACATGCCCGACCTAAAAGTAGCAGACAGGGCGGCACCCAGGCGCGGAAGAATTCCATGCTGAGTGCGCCGGCGCGGCCAGCAGCGGCAGCGGGGGCCGTGGCAGCAGCTGGGCCGCTGCGTCGGTGCACCCACGGGCGCAGCCGCCGCGACCAAAGCATGTCCCCCTTTCGCCTCCGTGCCGTGGGCGGCCCGCGCCCGTGCACGGCCGTCGGCTTCGTCTGCTCGTGGCCGCCAGCCCCAGCCGCGACGGCGTCAGCTCCTCGTCGGGCGATGCGCGTCGCACGCGCGCGAACTCGCTTGTTCGCGATTTGCCCTTCATTTGCTCCTCCCTCCTTCCTCCCTATCGTTGTTATCGTCGCGCTGTTTGTAGTTGAGTCGAAGACCTTGGGTCCCCGTGTTCTTTCGTGCACCACGTGCACCTCTTACCTTTTTACTTCCTTCCCCTTCCTCCCCCTGTTCGAGGATTGTCCTCCTTCCCTTTTTATTTCCCAGGATTTCATCTGTTTTGTGTGTTCTTTCCCACGGTTGTCGGCCCTTCCCTCCTTCAGCCCCCTCGTTTCTTTATCTCCGAGGGTGCCAGAGCCGCCAGGAAGAGGCCCGCAATAGGTACGCTCGGGGGTGGTCGCACACATGGACCGGCTTGTCTTGGGCCACCCTTCGCGAGGAGACCTCCTCTCCCACGAGGAGCAGCACCATCCCGGCCCCTTTTGAGGGTGCTCGCGCAGTGGGAGCAGGCCATCCTGGAGCACCGCTCGCGAGGGTGAGGATCCCCAGCCCCAAGAAGAGAGTCCAGGCAAACCCGCAGCTCCTGGCACCGCACAGGGTCGCGACGATCGGTTGCTTTATATGTCTTCGGCCTCTGGAGGCCGCTCTCCTCGGCGGCGAGCCCAGGGGGGAAGTGCGAAGAGGAGATTCCTTGGAGCCAGGCGATCGCAAACATGGATCAAGGGGGCGTGGATTAGCGACGGGTCTCGTTTCCAGGGGAAATCGCGGATTTCCGCCGCCGAGCGAGGCGGAACTGGCCGTATTTTGGGGAGGACACCTCCCCCGACCCATGGATTTGGCGACCGCGCGCCACATGCATGGGATCGCTAATCCATGTTTGCCCGCCCCCGACGGAAGCTTCCGCGCCTTCCGAGATGCCTTGCAAGCCGTCCTCCGAGGGCGCAGACGGCTCCTCCGCAGACACGGGTGGCTTCTGGAAGCCCCGGCGCCTCCTGAGAAGGCGTGCCCCCTCCTCGCTTCTCCCCTGGTCTCGGCGCCGATGTCCCGCCCCAGGGGTCATCCACACACGGATCGGGATGAAAAACGGGTCCCCCCCAGGGGGCCCGCGTCGCGAACAGCCTGCGCCGCCGGAGGAGGGCTCAAGCAGACTCCCGGTGAAGGCGTTCGCAGACTGGGGCCGGGGCGTTCTGGGCCGCTCGTCGCGAAGGCTCCCACTGTTCTCCAGAGGAGGCCCCAGCCAGGCGCCAGCGAGGGCGTTCGCATGCTGGGACTGGGCTGCCCGGCAACGCCTCGGCAGAACTCCTTCCGTCCTGCGGAGTCCCATCTCGGCTTCACTCGGTGCAGCTCAGCGGCCAGAGGGAACGACGCACCGAGGTGCTCCGCGTGGATGTTTTCCCGTGGAGCTCCTGGATCCCCAGAAGCCCCTGAGAACCCGAGGGCCTGTTTAACATGTTATGGCAGTGGGAATCTCTCAGAGTCCCCGAGATTCCCCTGAGTGCCACATGACCTCCTCAATTGGGGCAGGCCCCCCCCCCAGAACCCTCCAGGAACCCTTCGAACCTTCACCCCCTGCGAGGGGCGATGGTGTGGATTGAATGAAAGAGGATAATGCGATGTCCACTGCAGCTGGGGATGATGCAGAGCCGATCTTGCTCGAAGGCTAAACGGCAGCGCTGCAGGAGTGAGGAGGAGGAGGAGGAGGAGGAGGAGGAGGAGGAGGAGGAGGAGGAGGCACGATAGGATGCGCGTGTCATCGGCTGCTGTCTGCTGCTTGTCTGCCGCCTGTGTGCCAAGCGCTCCCCTCCTCTCTGCTCCGTCCTCCCTCCTTCCGTCTCCCTCCCTTCCTCCCTCCCCCCCTCTCTCCTCCCTTCCTCTCTCCCTCTCTGCCCCCCCCCGCGACGGCGACGACGGCGACAACGACGACGACGACGACGACGACGACGACGACGACGACGACGACGACGACGACGACGACGACGACGACGACGACGACGACGACGACGACGACGACGACGACGACGACGACGACGACGACGCGACGACGACGACGACGACGACGACGACGACGACGACGACGACGACGACGACGGACGACGACGACGACGACGACGACGACGACGACGAGGACGAGGACGAGGACGAGGAGGACGACGACGACGACGACCACGACCACGACCACGACCACGACGACGACCACGACCACGCCGACGACGACGACGTCGACGACGATGAAGACGACGACGACGACGACGACGACGACGACGACGCCGCCGCGGGCCGCGGACGCGGTGGCCGCCAGCAGAGGCTGCGGCGAGGCGTCCTGGGAGAGGCTGGTGGTGCTCCAGCAGCTCGGGGCGGTCTGGCGTCTGCCGTCGCCGCGGCCATCGTCGTCGTCGTCGCCGCCGTCGCCGCCGCCGCCGTCGCCGCCGCCGTCGTCGTCGTCGTCGTCGTCGTCGTCGTCGTCGTCGTCGTCGTCGTCGTCGTCGTCCCTGCCGCCGCCGCCGCAGCCTTGGTCGTGGATGTGGTCGTGGTCGTGGTCGTGGTCGTGGTCGTGGTCGTGGTCGTGGTCGTGGTCGTGGTCGTGGTCGTGGTCGCCGTGGTCGTGGTCGTGGTCGTCGTCGTTGTCGTCGTCGTCGTCCTCGTCGTCGTCGTCGTCGTCGTCGTCGTCGTCGTCGTCGTCATCGTCACCGCCGCTTTTCCCAGCTCTCCGACGCCCTGACTTTGCACGCGCGGGCCCCAGAGCCCTCGACCCTTCGCATGTCCGCCGCAGCGCGGCAGAGGCAGTCCGCACGCGCGCTCTCCTGGGCCAGGCAGTGGCAGGCAGCAGCTGTCCCGCGGCAAGAGGGGGAGACGAGGGCGGAGCGCGGCCGCGGAGGGAGGACGAGGAGGGAGGGCACTCCAGCGCGAAGGACTTCGGCTGGAGTGGCCGAGCGGCCAGCCTGTGCTGACGCTGCCTGGCAGTGGACGCGGGGCGGCATCGCGGCCACGCCTCTCGACCCTTCGCAGGTGCATGTTTTTTTTGACTTTCTCGGTCGGGGTTGTGCCGCTGACGGCTCTGCTCCCGAGAACGGCCCCCAGGGGCCGAGAGAGACCAGGAAGAGAAACGCTCGCGGTGTTCTCTTCGGGCCGTCGGAGGTTTGGGTGACCACGCCCGTGCACCGCCCATGCACCGCCGCCACGCCTTGCCAGGGCCATCCTGGGCTCCAGCATGGTTTGCTCGGCGGCGAGCGAGGGGGGGAAGTGAGAAGGATAATCCCCCCTCAGAATGCGGCGGGGGTTATGAGAAGCCCTCGCGCCTGCTGAGAGTTTTTTTCGCGTCTCCGGGGAAGGCCCAGAAGACTTCTCAGAAGGCCAGGGGACTCCCGAACCTTCTGAGAGGGCCTTCCCCTTCTCGCTTCCCCCCCCTCGCTCGCCGCCGACTTCTATAGCCTTGTCCAGTCTCGGCCAGGAGGGTAAACGCCATGCCGGGGCTCACGGTGGCCCTTGCCAGACAGGGCGGTGGTGCACGGCTGCGATCTGCGTGCGCCTCTCCGGTGCGGCCCCCCCGCCGCGTCCAGGTCTGCCTCCGGTCCAGGCGGCTCGAGGAGGCGCTGAGGTGGCTCTCGGAGTGCGCCAGCGGCTGCTCCAAGGCGACGGGGGGGCCGCGCAGCTCCGCACCGCGTCCTCTCCTTCCTCCTCCTGCTCCTCTTCCTCCATTCCTTTTCCTAAGAATAAACTTCGCACCCCGAGGCCGTGGGCTGGGCGTTTCGCCGCAGACTTTCTCACCAGTGATGACCCTGAAGCTGAAGCATTGGCAACAGCTTGGCGGATGGAGGGCGGGTGGTTTTCAACATGTGGCTCTCGCCTTGGCGCCGCGCGCATTCGTTGAAACACAGTGCGCGAGGCGAGTTTCACAGATGGAGGGCGGGTGGTTTTCAATATGTGGCTCTCTCCTTAGCGCCGCGCGCATTCGTTAAAACACATAGCAAAAGTTTCACCGATGGAGGGCGGGTGGTTTTCAACATGTGGCTCTCGCCTCAGCGCCGCGCACATTCGCTTTAAACATGTGCAAGAGCTTCATGGATTGAGGGCGGGTCCTTTCCAAGATGTGGCTCTCGCCCTAGCGTTGCGCACACTCCGTGTTAATAAGTTGCAAGAGTTTCACGGACTCCTATGGCCAACGTATCACCAATGGCGTGTTGGAAATATTCAGGATAATGAGGGTGCAACAGTTACGTTGATTCGCGTTTTGGCACAATTTAGGATCGTCAATACGCAACAGTCAGGTTGATCCGTGGCGTTGGAGTCCCGAGAATAATGTTTTGGAATGCGTCAGGGTCTTCAAACGGTTGTCTTCCAACGCGGCAGTTCCCTCAGTGGACACGAACCCTTGTAGGGGCCTATGAAGAGGGAGCTTGGAGGGAGGGTTTATTCCAACATCGTTGATGGCTCTTGGGTTTACCCTGGTCCTCCTCCTCCTCCTTCCTCTTCTTCTCCTCTTCCTCCTCCTCCTCCTCCTCCTCCTCCCTCCCCTCCTTCTCTTCCTCCTTCTCCTTCTCCTCCTCCTCCTCCTCCTCCTCCTCCTCCTCCCTTCCCTCTGCATAATATGACCTGTGGGGACCTCTGGGACCTCTTCGAGGGGGGGGGGGAGTGAGAAGGAGAATGGAGTAACAAAATACCGCGTAAAAAAGCATGAACTTTTGGAGGTCCGCGCGCATGTCTTGGATCGTCGTTGGCCTTCCCCTGGTGGCGCCTCCGGTGCCGCCCCTGGCGCGCTCTGTGCGTTAGGGAGGGGGGTCCAGCTCAGATCCAAGAAATCCGCGCGGACCTTCAAAAGTTTATGTTTTTGATTTTTTTCTGTTCCTCTAGAGAAGGCCTTCCCCCAAGGCGGCGGGACTTCTCAGAAGCCCTTGCGCCTCCTGATCGGTTTTCTGCGTCTGTGGGGAAGGCTCTGGAAGCTTATCAGAAGGCCCGGGGGCTCCCGAGCCCTCTGAGAAGGCCCGCCCCTTCTCACTCCCCCCCAGTCTCGCCGCCGAGTCGTTTGCTCGGGTCTTGATGTTTATGCTTTTGTTTGTTTTTGTTGTTTTTGCTTTGGAGTGTGTTTTGCAGCAAAGAGTTTCGTCGACTCCAAGCAGTGTGTTTCTAGCAGTGCATGTTGTGCAATTCATGTTGTGCAATCTAAGTTGTGCAATGCATGTTGTGCTGTAGCAGTGTTGCGACCTATGAGGTGCAATCTATGGTGTGTGCAATCTAATGTGGAGCAGTCCATGTGGTGCAATCTACGTGGTGCAATCTCTGTTCTGCAATATATGGTATCTCTCTCTCTCTCTATATATATATGCGGTGCGATCTACGCGGTGCAGTCTATGTGAAGCAATCGGTTATTACAAACGAGTTGGCTAATTCCATGTCGTTGCAAACATCCCACCCACCCACCCGCAACTTGATTTGCAAAACCTATGCGGTGGCGATTGCGATGAGTGCTTGGCGTTGGCTGGTGCATCTCTGCGGCCGCGCTAGCCCGCGCATGCTCGCGCGTGCAGCGGCCAGCTAGTTTGGCGAGACCGACGCGACCGCGGTGGCGCTAACCGCTGGACACTTCGCAGCGGGCAATTCATTCAGTGCGAGTCGGTGACCTTGGTGGGCGTGGTATCATGGCGACGCCGACTGCGGTAGACGCGATTACGTGAGTAGCGGGAACCTTTGTCTTGCAGTTTATGTTATGCATTCTGCGCAGTGCAATATATCTGGTTGTGCAACCCATGTGGTGCAATCTATGTTGTGAGCGATCATAGCGTGCGCCGCAGGCGCGTTTTTTTTTCTCCGTGCGAGCTACGTGATGTGGCGCACTCCATCGGCGGCGACGGCCTGCGACGAGGCGGCGACGATGCGACGACGGGGCGGCGACGGCGGCCACATAGCCGCCAGACCGAAGACACGGCCCAGACGACGGGCGGTGACGAGGCGGCGACGGGGCGGCGACGGCTGCCACATAACCGCCAGCCCGAAGACACGGTCCAGTTCCTTAGAACAGAAGTAAGAAGCCCTAAGTGCAAACACCGTTTGGGAAATCATAGGCGTGCGTTTCTTGATTGTAGTTTTTGTGCATCTACCTAAAGAGTGGAACCGTTTTTTGTAACCACGGCGGATCTCGTGGGCGTGGCGCAGGCGCCCCTTGTCCCGCTTGAGCGAAGTGGGGTGCTGCCCCCTTTGGGTTCTGGCGCCCAGGGACAGAGATAGAGACAGAAAGAGAGAGAGAGAGAGAGAGTGAGAGACTGTCGCGGCGGGGCTTTTCATCTCCATTCTCGGCCTCCGGAGGCCAGTGCCGAAGCTAGAGCAACGGACGGACATGGAGTCGACTGCGCTGACATTGGCGCGTAGGCTGTCCGCGTAAGGTCGCGCGTTAGCGTTCTCGCCTCCAATGTAGCGTGGTGTGTTAGCGTCCCGCGTAAGCCACCGCGCAAGGTCGCTATGTCATCGTGCGTGGAACCCCTTTACTTATCGTCGCCCAACTGGGGCCGTGAGAAAACGACTCGAGTCGAGAGCCCTGGGTGTCCACGTTCAGACCCAGGCGTCGCCAAAAAACCGTGACGGCCAGTTTCTGTGTTTTTGACCCCCGGGGGCCACGGGGGCTGTCTCCTGGGACCTTCACACACGACTCAGGATGAAAACGCGGTCCTTGGGAAAAGATCGAGTTCCTTGGGCTCCCACGTCGCGAAAAGAAGCAATTGTCGTGGGAGGAGGAGTGTCACGAGGGAGTCGTGCCGTCCCAGGAGAAGGTGCCGCGGTCCGCGCCCAGACCAAGGCGTCCTGGCGTCCTGAAAGCAGCAGCGCGACCACTGGTCTTTTCAGTGTTTGGACCCGCTTCGGGCTTCCTAGCTAGGGCCAACAAGAAGCGACCCACGTGGTACAACATCTGCGCGACGCCTTTCAGATTCAGGCGTCGCAGACAAATTGGGACTTGTTGTTGCTGCTGTTGTTGTTGCTGATGATGCTGTTTTTGTTGGTGCTGCTGCTGCTGTTGAACTCTCTCTTCTGAAAAATAAGTATTGTTGATCCCCCCCGCCTGGTGCACATGGTATCTTTTCAATTGAAGTGCCCTTCCCGGGGCTCGCACCCGGTTTTTTCCAGGGTAAAGTCTTGAGTGGCAAACTACGCCCTTGGCCCCCAAGTTACAACAACAACGGCTCCCGCCTGAGACTTCGTCACACTTTATCGAAGCATTGCGCTCTCGCGCAGGACTTGCTCACAGCGTGTACAGGAATCGTGCTCTCGCGTAGGACTTCCTCGCAATTTATTCAGACGCCGCGCCCTCGACACTCAGGAATCACGCTCTCGCTTTGGATGTCCTCGTGATTTATTTTGGAATCGCGCTATCGCTCGAGACTTCCGCGCGATTCATGCAGGACGCACGCTTCAGTAACCCGCCTGCTCGACCTGGCCGCCTGGGCCCGCCTTCCCGACCCGCCCGTTAGGGTGTACCCGCCCGATCTGCCCGTCTGGTTCTGCCTCGTGTTTTCTGCTCCGAGCCCCCCTTCTGCTAATTTCTCTCGTGCTCCATCCTCCTCCCTCCCCGTTGTCCTTTCCTTCCGTCCGTCCACTCTTCTCCTGTGTAAAGCGGCTGCGCTAAATGCTCATGGCAGGTAAGAGCGAAATACCCCCACGGGTGTACGATCGAAGACGACCAGGGCGGGCATCGAGGGTTCGGGATAGACGTGTTGAACGGCCCGCGAGCACGTAAGAACGAGCAGTCTTAAAATGATTGTTGTTGTTGTTGCTCCCCTCCAGTAACCATTCCATTTTTCAATTCGAGTGCTTCTCCCTGGGCTCGCACCTTATTTTTTTACAAGGGAAGGTGAGGGGTCACCAAACTGGGTTGTTGGGCCCCAACAGCGGCTCCCGCCTGACACTACATCACAACTTATGCCCAAATGGCGCTCCCTCGCGCGGGACTTGCTCACAACGTTTGCAGAAATCGCGCTTTCGCATGGGATTTCCTCGCAATTTATTCAGACGCCGCGCCCTCGACACTCAGGAGTCACGCTCTCGCTCTGGATTTCGATTTATTTTGGAAGCGCGCTATCGCTCGAGACTTCCGCGCGATTCATGCAGGACGCACGCTTCAGCAACCCGCCTGCTCGACCTGGCCGCCTGGGCCCGCCTTCCCGACCCGCCCGTTAGGGTGTACCCGCCCGATCTGCCCGTCTGGTTCTGCCTCGTGTTTTCTGCTCATAACCCCCATCCTGCTATTGTCCCTCGTGCTCCATCCTTCTCCCTCCCCGTTGTCCCTTCCTTCCATCCGTGCTCTCTTCCCCTGCCTCAGGGGCTGAACGGAATACCCGTTGCAGTTAAGAAAGATATATACCCCCAAGGGGGTCCGACTGCAGACGAAGAGGGCGGGTATCGAGTGTTTGGGATCTACGTGTTGAATGGCCAGCGAGCAGTCTTAAACTGATTGTTGGTGTTGTTGTTGTTGTTGTGGTTGTTGTTGTTGTTGTTGTTGTTGTTGTTGTTGTTGTTGATGTTGAGCTCTCAATTCTGAAGAATAAGTATTGCTAATCTTCCTTCACCCGTGCATACGGTTTTTTATCAATCAAAGTGTGCACCCTGTTTTTCGTCAGTGAAAGTTTTGATGCTCAAACTGCGCCCCTGGTCCCCGGGTTACAACAACAACGGCTCCCGCCTGAGACTTCTTCACAATTTAGCCAGGACCCCCGCTCCCGCCTGAGACGTCCTCGCATTTTATTCAGGAATCGCGCTGTCGCTTGGGACCTCCTTACAATTTACCCAGGAATCGCTATCCCGGCGCTCTGGAGTCGCGCTCTCGCTGGAGAGTTGCTTGCAATTTACTGAAGAATAGCGCCCTTGCGTTGGAGTTTCTTGCAATTTGCTCAAGCGCCGCGCTCCCGACACCCAGGCACCCAAGAGTCGCGCCCGCTGTGGCCCCATGTGCATGCCCTTCGTGGCCCCGCTGTCGCCGTTTGTTGCCCCCTCAGTGTCCTACGTGGCCCAGTTGCTACCCTCAGTGGCCCCATCGTTGCCTCCTGTGGCCCCGCATTATCTGCCCTTCGTGGCCCCAGCTCGTTCGCGCTCATCGTGGCCCCATACGCATTCCCTTCGTGTCCCCGCTGTCGCCCTTCGTGGCCTACTTCGTGTTCTTCGTGCCACGAAGGCCACGACGTTCGTGGCCCTGCTGTCGTTCTCTATCGCTCTCGCTTTCGCTCGTCGTCGCCGTCCTCGTCGTCGTCGTCGTCGTCGTCGTCGTCGTCGTCGTCGACGTCGTCGTCGTCGTCGTCGTCGTCGTCGTCGTCGTGGTCGGTCTCCTGTCCGTCCCTCTTGGGGTCGGGTCGACGGTCCGCGGCCACCCCGCCGATCAGCGCTGCCGCTGGCCAGGCCGACGGTCCGCGGCCGCCCCGCCGCTTGCCGGGGCCCGGCCTGCAGGGAAGAAAGGTATTTTCCCCAAGAGGGGTTCGATCGAAGACGAAGTGGGCGGGTATCGAGGGTTTGGGAAATACGCGTTATTGGACACTGGAGCAGATAAGGGCGAACAGTCTTAACATGATTGTTGTTGCTGTTGCTGTTGCTGTTGCTGTTGTTGTTGTTGTTGTTGTTGTTGTTGTTGTTGTTGTTGTTGTTGTTGTCGTCGTCGTCGTCGTTGTTGTTGTTGTTGTTGTTGTTGTTGTTGAGTTCTCATTCCTAGATATTGCTTATTGTTGATCCCCCCCTCCGGGGCACACGGTGTTTTTCAATGGAAGTGCCGATCCCGGGGCTCGTGCCTTGTTTTTTTCGTATCACGGGAGCCTCGGGTTTCAGAATTGGGTTGTTGGCCCCAGGTTTACAACAACAACTGCCCTCGCCTTGATACCGCCTCACAACTTATTCCCAAATTTTGCTCTCTCGTGGGAGTTCCTCACAATGTATGCAGGAAGCGCGCTCTCGCGTGGGACTTCCTCGCAATTTGATTCAGACGCCGCGCCCTCGACACTTAGGAATCACGCTCTCGCTTGGGATTTTGATTTATTTTGGACTCGCGCTGTCGCTCGAGACTTCCGCGCTATTCGTGCAGGACTCACGCTTCAGCAACCCGCCTGCTTGACCTGGCCGCCTGGGCCCGCCTTCCCGACCCGCCCGTTAGGGTGTACCCGCCCGATCTGCCCGTCTGGTTCTGCCTCGTGTTTTCAGCTCCTAGCGCTACTCTCTCTCGTGCTCCATCCTTCTCCCTCCCCGTTGTCCCTTCCTTCCATCCGTGCTCTCTTCATCTGCCTCAGGGGCTGCACGAAATACACGTTGCAGGTAAGAAAGGTTCATACCCCCAAGGGGATGCGATCGAAGACGAAGAGGGCGGATATCGAGTGTTTGGGATCTACGTGCTAAACGGCACGTAACTAGATATGAACGAACATTATTATCATGCTTGTTGGTATTGTTGCTGCTGCTGCGGTTGTTTCTGCTGCTGTTGTTGTTGCTGTTGCTGTTGCTGTTGTTGTTGTTGTTGCTGCTGCTGCTGTTGTGTTTGTTGTTGTTGTCGTTGTTGTTGTTGTGGTGGTGGTGGTGGTGGTTGTTGTTGCTGCTGCTGCTGTTGTTGTTGTTGTTGTTGTTGTTGTTGTTGTTGTTGTTGTTGTTGTTGTTGTTGTTGTGGTTGTTGTTGTTGGTTCTTGTTGTGGTTGTTGTTGCTGCTGTTTTTTTGTGTGTGGTTATTGCTTTTTCATGATTTTATGTTTTCAGCCTCTGGAGGCCGTTTCCCAGCCCCCGGACGGTCAAAGAACGACGCAGCACGAAACGCTGGTCCCCGCGAAGAGGTCCACATCCCTGGGGCACAACGCCGCGAAGAGCTGCGCCGTCGGAGAAGGAGGTGCGTTTTCAAGAGAAAGGGGCGTCCGAGGCCCAGGCTATTCCCAGGCCTTCGCCTGGATGGACTCTCGGGGGCCAGGCTGGCCTTCGGAGTAGCCGTGTGGGGCTTGCCGCCGGCGCTCCATTGTGGGTGCCCCCGGTCGGTCAGCATCGTCCAACTGACCCCCATCAACACTGGTCCCTCTCCTCCCTCTCCTCCTCTTCCTCCTCCTCCTCTCTCCTCTTCCTCCTCCTCCTCCTCCTCCTCCTTCTCCTCCTCCTCTCCCATGGTATCTCAGCCCGTCAGCCCAGCCCCCCCAGGTGGTGGCAGGTCCCGCGCGTATCTGCCCCGATGCGCCCGTTTTGAAGCTCAACATGTGCCGTGTTCAAAGCGTCCGTGCAAAGACGCTGTGTGTGAGCTGGGCACGTTGGTGTACCTTTTCCTGCACATCATCTTCGGCACCGCCTGATCCCAGGGCTTCGCCCTCTCCCGGCCGCGTGAGGCCCCGCCTTCTTCCGCCATTGCGTCCCGCTTAGCTTTCAGCGGAAGAGGTTCGCTCTCGCCCCGCAGATCAAAAAGTTAGCTGGGCACGCGCTGGCCCACGTGCTTGCGAACGTATCGCGCCAGACCTACGTGCTCGGTCTGCGTGTTGAGCTCCGTGTCGGCACGCCACGGGCTGCGTGTTGCGTATCGGGGCAGGCTGTGGTCAGCATCGTGCAACCGAGCCCCATTCCCACTTGGGCCATGGCATCTCAGCCCCGTCAGCCCCACCCCCCACGTGTCGCAGGCCTAGAGGTTGACACCAACACCAATTTCGGCGGTGTGCCTCCACCGAGGGAAGAGATCCCGATCTCGGTGATGGTGGTAATATTCTGGCTTCCGAGGTGGCCAACGTATTTCCACCAACACCGAAATCTAGGATGGTCTTCCCCCTGTGGAGGCAACCCCCTGTGTTGGTGTTGGTGCCCATTTCCAGGCCTCCAAATGTGGGGGTCGGTCCCGCGAGCCCCCAGGGGAACATCGCACATCCCTACCTAGGGGAGGTAAGTCGGCCAGTGGGTCTGATGTCATGACAGTAGGGATGGGGATTGGTTCAACGCCACCCAGTCGGGGACTTCGCACAGCCGGCCGTTGGAGGCTGCGCTGGGCTGCTCGTGAGAGACTGGGGGGGGGATCCACGCGCCTGCCGAGCAGTTTCCTCGGCCCCGCCGACCTCTACATCACCCGAGTGGTCTGCCGCAAAGGGCCTGGCACGTCTCCCTGGAGAGACGTGCGCTCCTCCTCCTCCTCCTCCTGCTTCGTCCTCTCCTCCACCGTCCTCCCCCCTCCTCTCTCCTGGTGCCTCTTCGGCGTTCTGCGGGTGCCAGGCGAGTGGCCACCCCAGGGACGAGCAGCTGTTCGGGGGCAACTTCTCGACGCAGCAGACCCGGCTCGAGTTCACCTCGCAGGTGCGCGCTGGTGGCAGTGGTAGCGAATAGGAGGAGGAGGAGGAGGAGGAGGAGGAGGAGGAGGAGGAGGAGGAGGAGGAGGAGGAGGAGGAGGAGGAGGAGGAGGAATAGCGCAGGAGGGCCAGAGTGAATCCAAGATGCGCCAAGGATGCTACAACGCACGCTCCCGCCTCCAGCCCCCTCCAAGTCTTCCCATTCAGAGTGAAGGGGCCGAGCCGGCCTTGGACTGTCCCTGGGTGCTTGGCAGAAGTGGGGCTCCGCGGTGCGGATTCTCGCTCTCTTCTTCTTCTTCTTCTTCTTGCTGCAGGCCCCTCCCCGCGACCCACCCGCGCCCTGCCCCGCAAGCCAGCCGCGAACCACCCGTGACCTGCGGCGCGACCCACCCGTGACCTATCCGGGGCCCGCCCCTTGACCCACCAGCGTTCCACACGCGGCCTGCCGCGCGCCCCGCCTCGCCGTCCGTCGACGACCCGTCTGCTAGCCACGCACATCCCTGCAGCGGCCTCGTTGTGTAGTGAAGGTCGGTGCCTGCGGTCGGTCTCGTTGTGCAATGAAGATCGGTGCCTGCGGTCGGTGCCTGCGGCGGTCTCGTTGAGATGAGTCGGTGCCTGCGGCGGTCTCGTTGTGTCATGAAGATCGGCGCCGGCGGCGGGCCTGTTCACATGTGCTTCCGAGCCTCGCAAATTCGCCGCCGACCTTCACCCCCTGCGCTCTTATCCGCACTTGTTGGGGCTCTGGTCTTGTACTATGGCCGTGCTCGCCTGCACCTCGCAGTTTCTATATGTCTCTCTATCTTCGCTCTCTCTCTCTTTCCTTTTCTTTGTCTCCTATCTCCACTGCTAGTTGCTGCGTAGCTCTGTACGGTACCACTGACCGTGGCCTCAGCCGGGGTACATGCACACTGTGCGTCTGCAACGCAGCTTTTTCCTTCTGGTGGCGCCGGCATTTCCTCCAGATTCTCCTCCTCCTCCTCCTCCTTCCGCTCCACCAGGAGGAGGAGAAGGAGGAGGATGAGGCGGAGGAAGAAGAAAAAGGATGAAACTAATGTTAGTAATACTAATTCTAATGACATGAATGAGCAAAATAATACGAACAGTACGAGTAATACAAATGATACTCATAATCATACTAATATTATTATTAGTAGTAATACTACTACTACTACTAACAATAATAATACTGACAATAATAATACTACTAACAAACATACATAATAATAACATTAACAATAACAGTACTACTACTACTACTAATAAAAATAATGGTAATACTATTATTAATAATAATTTTATTTAATACTAATAGTATTAATAATACTAATACTACTAATAATAACACTAATATTAATAATAACAAGACTACTACTACTACTACTACTAATAATAACAATAATAAAACTCAAACTCATATTCATAATAATAACACTACTACTACAACTACTACTACTACTAATACTTATACTATAATAATGATGAAGATGATACAAATACTAATGACAATATTACTAATCATTATAACAGCAATAATAATAATATTAATAATACTACTAATACTAATCATAATAATATCAATAATAATAATTATATTATTATTATAATTAATAATAATAATATTTATATTAATAAAATACTAATCGTATTAATAATAATAATATCAATAATACGATTAATATCAATAATAATAGCATTAATATTAATATTATTATTTACACAAATAATAAAGATGCTACTAGTAATAGTATCACTAATAACAATAATAATACTAATACTATCAATAATACTTATACTAATAGTAGTAACAACAATAACAATCATAATGCTAATAATAATAATAGTAATAATGATAATGATAATAATAATATCAATAATAATACTAATAATAATAATCGTAATAATAACACTATTATCAATAATAATAATACTAATAATAATAATAAGAATCATCGTATGAACATAAGAATTTTGAATAATGATATCAATAATAATAATAACAACCCTGCGACGTACCCAACCCACGTGCATCAAATGGCAAGAGGAGTATGCCAACAGTAGCAGGAACAACGACAGTGTAGACGCGGCGATTTGCTGTGCAAACTACATGGGATGCGCATGCGTTGCACGATTCACAGGACGACGATCGAAAGAACGAGGCTTGAGGCCCCAGGATCGAAGAAAAACGGGCACGGGAACGAGGGGTAGGAGAGGGATGGAATGGAGGGCGGGGGGGGCGAAAGGCCATCGCGGAAGCAGCAGCATGCATGGAGAAGGTGAGGCGGGGAATAGGACGACGATGAAAATGGCGGGAGGAGACAGAAGACTGCCGCGTTTTTCAAGCGCGAGCTAAACCCGCAGCGCTGCCTGCGCCATGTCGTCGCAGAGTTCCACATGATAAAACTTGTTTAGAGTGCAAAGAACGAGCGAGGCGTAGCTCGCCCGCTAGCTTCTCCGCCTCCTTCCCGCACATTTCAGCGCGGGAGCTGAACGCTCGCAGGCGCGCCGCCAGGTCTGCGGGCGGCCCGCGGGAAAGAAACTCAAGGCCGGGGTCGCGTATCATCAATCGGTTGTCCATCGTCCAAAGTTGCACTGGCGACGTACTGGTTGAACGCGGAGCGAGCAGCATCACGCGCGTGCCTGAACGCCACGCAGGTACAGTGCACGCGCGATTGGGACTTCAGGTCGATCACGCGCGTCTCCACCAGGCTTGGCAACACCACGCGACTGAGGATCTCACTGCGGTCTGCCATGCTGCTGTCCGCGAATGCAATGCGCTGCCTGCAAGTAAGGCGGCGGCGTCCACTTGTCTCAGAAGATGTTCCCGCGGGCCCGAAGGGCGACCGCCAGCTCGAGCCGCGGCGCCGGCAGGCCAGATAAGGATCATGCAACAGCAAAGACGATGACAGAGCAACGAGGTATCGGCGAGTGCATGACCGGCCTCCGTTTCCTGCACTTCTTTCCTGTAGTTCCCCTAGCTCATCGAGCTCAGCAGATGTTTCTGCGGGTCCGAAGGACGACCGCCAGCTCGAGTCGCAGCGCCACGTGGCACGAACCGCAGAGCAAGGGCGCGCGAGCATTGCTCGTGGTCAGAATCTGAGTCCCCGCGGTGCCTCACTCCGCTGGCCACCCACCAGCAGCCCTCGAAAGTGGCGACAGTTTCACAGATCGCAGCCGCCCAGGGGTGGCGAGGTCTAATCTGAGTCCCCGTGGTGCCTCACTCCGCTGGACCCACCAGCAGCCTCGAAAGTGGCGACAGTTTCGCACAGGGATGGCGAGGTCTAATCTGAGTCCCCGTGGTGCCTCACTCCGCTGGACCCACCAGCAACCCTCGAAAGTGGCGACAGTTTCACAGATCGCAGCCCCCCAGAGATGGCGAGGTCTAATCTGAGTCCCCGTGGTGCCTTGCCTCACTCCGCTGGACCCACCAGCAGCCCTCGAAAGTGGCGCCAGTTTCACAGATCGCAGCCCCCCAGAGATGGCGAGGACTAATCTGAGTCCCCGTGGTGCCTCACTCCGCCGGACCCACCAGCAGCCCTCGAAAGTGGTGACAGTTTCACAGATCGCAGCCCCCCCCCAGAGATGGCGAGGTCCAACATGAGTCCCCGTGGTGCCTCACTCCGTTGGACCCACCAGCAGCCCTCGAAAGTGGCGACAGTTTCACAGATCGCAGCCCCCCCCCCCCCAGGGATGGCGAGGTCTAATCTGAGTCCCCGTGGTGCCTCACTCCGCTGGACCCACCAGCAATCCTCGAAAGTGGCGACAGTTTCACAGATCGCAGCCCGCCAGGGATGACGTGAAAGGCAAGAGAAGAGAAGAGGAGGAGCGAAGAGAGGCGGAGAAGGGAAGCAAGAGAGGGGATGAAGAGGGAAGAGAGGAGGAGGAGGCGGGAAGGAAGGAAGGTGGAGACCGCAGTGCTCTATTCAAAACGAGTACCCAACGCAGGAGGGTTGGGCATAATAATAATAATATTAACAATGATAATCCTAATAACAATAATAATAATAATCAGAACAATAATAATAAGAATAATAATACCAATACTGAGAATAATAATACTACTAATATTAATAATAATAATACTAATACTAATACTAATAATAATACTAATAATAATAATAACATTAATACTACTAATACTAATAATAATAATCATAATAATAATAATCATCATCATCATCATCATAATACTAATATTAATACAAATAATAATAATACTCATAATCATAATATTATTAATAATAACAATATTAATAATAATACTACTAATACTAATAATATTAATAATACTAATAATGATAATACGAATAATAATAATCAATAATAATTATAGTAATACATAATAATAATAATTATTATAATACTAGTAATAATAACAATAATAATACTACTACTACTAATAATAATAATACTAAAAATACCATTAATAATAATAATAGTAATACTATTATTATTATTATTAATAATAATAATATTGATAATAATAATATTATTAATAATAATAATAATATTAATAATACTAATAGTAATACTAATAATACTAATAATGATAATGAAAATAATAATATTAATAGTAGTAATAATAATAATAATAATAATAATACTAATAATACTACTAATAATAATAATACTAATACTAATACTACTACTAATAATAATAATACTAATAATACTAATAATAATATTATTAATAATAATAATAATAATAATAATAATAATAATACGAATAAGAATAAGAATAATAATAATGATAATAATAATAATAATAATAATAAAATATTAATAATTAATAATAATAATAATAAATAATAATAATAATAATAATAATAATAAAATACTAATAATAGTAAAATAATACTTATAATCATTTGAGGAGGAGGAGGCGGAGGAGGAGGAGGAGGAGGAGGGGGGAGGAGGAGAGAGGAGGAGGAGGAGGAGGAGGAGGAGGAGGAGGAGGAGAAAGAGTAGGAGGGAGGAGGAGGAGGAGGAGGAGGAGGAGGAGGAGGAGGAGGA